TGAAAACATTACAAGTGCCAAAGAATTCCTTGCTGAAATTGAGCAGCGCTTTGCAAAAAGCGATAAGGTGGAGGCAAGCACTCTTCTTCAAAACTTGATCTCCATGAAATATCAAGGCAAATGAAATATCAGGGAGTACATTATGAGCATGTCTAATATTGTTTTTAAACTCAAGGCACTAAAGCTTGAACTCTCAGAAGACTTGCTCATTCATTTGGTATTGATTTCTCTTCCTGCAACGTTTAATCAATTTAAGGTATCTTACAACTGTCAGAAGGATAAATGGTCTCTTAATGAGCTCATTTCACATTGCATACAAGAAGAGGAAAGACTAAAGTAAGACAAGACAGAAAGTGCTCATTTTTTGCAAGCACCTCCAAGGCTAAGGGCAAAAGAAAGAGATCAGAGGATCTCGAGAAAGAAGGTGCTAAGGGTCCAGAACAAAAGAAACAAATTCAAGAAAACAAATATTTCTTTTGCAATAAGACTGGACACGTAAAGAAGAAATGTGCTAAATATCATGCTTGGCGTGAAAAGAAAGGGTTGCCTAAACTACCAGAAGCCAATTGATTCTGAAAGATGAATTTATGTTGGAGATGACAAATCAGTAGAGGTGGAAGCTATAAGTCATTTTAAATTATTATTAAGTACTGATTTTTTATTTGGATTTGAAAGACACTTTTGTTATGCCGTCATTTAGACGGAATTTTGTTTCAGTTTCTTATTTGGACAAATTAGGTTATTTATGTTCATTTGGAAACAATAAGTTCAGTTTGTCTTTTAATTCAGATATTGTTGGAACTGGTTCACTTTTAATTTATGATAATCAGTATTTACTTGATATTGTGGCCACCTATAATGAAACCCTTAATGCAGAATCATGTGGTACTAAACGTAAAATTGAAAATACTCACTCAAGTGCATTATGGCACAAGTGCTCAGGTAACATCAAATTGTAACGTTTGGGCTTATGTTACACTCTTAAAGATATGGTAGAGAGTATGTTACACACTAAATATGACAGCTTATATTCTAAACAGAGTACCAACTAAAGCAGCTACCAAAACACCTTATGAGCTTTGGATTGGGCGACAACTTAGTCTGAAGCATTTCCATGTGTGGGATTGTCCAGCTGAGGCAAGACCTTATAAGTCAAATGAAAAGAAATTGGACTCCCGAACAGTAAGTGGTTATATTATTGGTTATGCTGAAAGATCCAGGGGATATAAATATTATGATCCCACATTAAAGACAATTTTTTGAGACGGGAACTGCTACGTTCTTTGAGGATATTGAGTTTGGGGGGAAGAATAAGATTAAGAATTTCATCTTGGAGGAAGAATCAGTAACAATTTCAGAACCGATTCAAATAGTTACTTTTGATAAAGTAAGTTCGGAACCTCCACAAGGCATTGTTGATGAACCCCTCACTCAAGATGATTTGGTTGTTCATGAAGAACAAACTCAAGATCCTCAAGAACCTGTGCATCATGAGCTAATAACTTTGCAGAGATCCACTAGAGGAAGAAGAAGTGCTATTTCGGATGATTACATGGTATTTCTTCAGGAACATGAGGAAAATAATGATATAATGGAAGATGACCCAGTTAACTTCCGTCAAGCTATATAAGGTTCTAAATCTCAAAATTGGATTGAAGCAATAGGATAAGTATAAGTCCATGCAAGACAATAAGGTTATTGGGAACTTGTCCCATTACCGGAAGGTATGAAACTCATTTGGCTTCAAGATGAATATTGTTGATGATTGTATGTATCACAAGTTTAAAGGGAGACAAGTTTAGTCTCAATCAGTGCCCAAAGGGAATTTGGAAATTGAGGAAATGCAAAAGATTCCCTATGCATCGGTTGTAGGGAGTTTGATCTATGCCCAAGTATGTACGCATCCGGACATAGCATATATAGTTGGGGTTCTAGGCGGATATTTAAGCAATCCAGGAATAGACCATTGAAAAGCAGCAAAAAGGGTCATAAGATATTTAAAGAGAACAAAAGATTATATGCTCACATATAGGAGGTCGGACCAGTTGGAGATCGCTGGGTTTTCGACTCAGATTTTGTAGAATGTCAAGAATTTGTAACTTGCTATGAGGTATCAAATCATGGAATATGAGCTGATAAATTTTGTCACGAGGCTGCAAATTGTGAAAGGCATTGAAAGACCACTTAAGTTATATTGTGACAATAAATCAGCTGTATTGTTAAGGAAAGAGTACAAAGTGGACAGATTTTCATAGAACACTTAAGGACAAACTCCATGATACCAGATCCTCTGACTAAAGGACTTCCGCCCAAGGTCTTTCATGAGCATTTTGCTCACATGGGTGTTTTACAGTTTGAGGAATTTGTGGTTTAGTGGGAGTTAGTCACTTTCATATATTTTATGTTCTATGTTTAATTTCATATATGTATACATTGTTTTTTTAGACATATTTGGTTATCTATAGATATGCGGTTTTTTCGTTCATTCATTACACTTTGTACATTAAGAATATTATATCGATTTCAATAACTTAAAGTTTGGACCAGTTGAAAATAGACGTGTACAGATCACCTTCACGTAATTTTTCATGCTACACATTTCATGATGAATCCATGTCATTTGGTTATGTTAGGATGAGTAATCATTGTTGGTTTTAGTTGCAATGATGCAATGAAAAGTTGGTTTGGTTCTATATCCTAATATGATTAATGGACAGGACTTTTGGAGTATGCTAAAGGAATATAATGGCACTTTTGAGCTCATAAAGTCTAACACATTTGTAAGGTTGTAAGGACATATATATTTGTGACCAGTGGGAGATTGTTGGAAAAATTTGGGTCATGTATATATATGATACATAATTTAAATGTGTTAGGGCCATTATTTATTAAGCCAAATAATAAAGTGATCTGACTAAATTAAAGTTTTGGCTAAAAGCATATGTCATGAAAATAAAATTGTGTAGAGACCATAGAGCAATTTCTAATTTGATGAGGGGCCAAATTGGAAATACTAAAACTTAAGTAATTAACCTAATTCTGGTTATCTAAAGGGTCATGGTCCCCTTCTGAGAGCACGTAGACAGAACGTAAGTTTCATTCCTGTTCCTTTCTTTCTATCCCCATCAAGAGAGAAAATCAAGAGGGAAATACAGGTGCTCTTCAGGTGGAAGACCATAAGATCAATACAGTGCTCTACAAAGACATCATCATTATGGTTAATTCAGGTACGCTTTCGCATTCAGTTTACAGCATGTTTATCAGTATGGGATTATGTTTATGTTTGATCGTTATAATCAAAATCAGGATTATTATTATTGTTTTTCCAACAATTTGGAGAAGTAGGAAGCAACTTGTAGTGGTAAGGAGTAGTGTAGAAGCTGAATTCAGAGTTATGGCTCAAGGTATCTGTGAAGGAATCTGGTTTAAGAGGATGTTAGATGAAATCAAAATTTCTATCAATTCCACTATGAGGATAATGTGTGACAATAAAGTTGCTATAAGCATAGCAAAGAAACCAGTCACCATGATAGGACAAAGCATGTGAAAATTGACCAACACTTCATTAAAGAAAAAATTGATCATGGTATTATAAGTGTTGTCCATGTTCCATCATGTAGACAAACAGCAGATATCCTGACAAAGGCTTTTCCAAGGAACACGTATGAAAACATTAGATCCAATCTGGGTATGATAGACATCTACCACCCAGATTGAGTATCATACCCAGATTGAGGGGGAGTGTTGGAAATCAGCACTATCAATTAGAATAATTCAATTATGATAGGATTTAATGATAATATAATCATTTTTATTTCGTCATTTATGCACATTTATGTACATCATATATAGGGAGAATATTTTCCTAATTTTCAGAGGTAGATTAGTGTATAGATTTATTACCTTGTATTATATTTATACCTCCTTTGTATCTTTTCTAAAATAAGAAATACACAATGTACTTTCTACATCATACTTTTAGCATTGACTCATTATTATGCATAGGCAAATGAACAAGTGGAGGCGATTTATAAAGTTCTAATAAGTTTAATCAAAAATCATATTGGGGATAAGACTAAAAATTGGCACGAGACATTGCTTCAAAAATTAAGGGCTTATAAAAATTCTCTAAAAGATTCTACAAAAACAACTCAATACAAACTAGTTTCTAATCATGATGTAGTATTACCCATCGAGATTAACATGCAATCAGTTCAAATTCAAAGACAATGATTTGTCTCGATCGAATTATTAGGATATGATGTTTGATGAATTGAATGAATTAGATGAAGTCAAAATTAATGCTTTAGAGCATATACAACATTAAAAAAATCAAATTGCTAGATCGTACAATAGGCAAATAAGAAATAATTGTTGTAAAGAAGTGATATTATGTGGAAAGTTATTTTGCTTATGGATAAGAAATGGAAGCGTTTTGAAAAATGGTCTCTGAATTAGGAAGGACCTTTTGAGATTGTTAAAGTATTATAAAAAAATGTTTATGTTATTGATAATTATTTCAATGGACAATCGTGTTTATCAATTAACGATAAGTATTTGAAAATATTTAAATCTTATCATATATAATTATAGATGGTCGAAAAAAGGTATTGAAGCGGAAAACAAGAGATACGTAATAATAAAAGTGTTTATACATTATGCTTCGATTGAAGGATATTAAATTTAGCAATAATTGCATTTTATGAACTCGATACAAAAGGCTGTTGTTTTTTGTTGTTAGATATCTTGACAAAATTGTCCTTTAAATCTATAAAAATACTTTTGGACAAGTTAAGCTTGATCATTTTGTCAAAAGTGTATTTTATGACTTGGAGAGTTCCTCGATCTTGACTTTAGAAACTTGAAGTTGTTATTGGAGATTAAAGATTTGTTGTTCGAGGCTTGTATATTTTTCCTTTTCTTCTATTAGAGAGATGAAAGTTGCATATTGTTCTGAATCAATAGTCTTGAATCGTGGAATGTTGATTTAAAGCTTTGACTTTGTTGGTACAAGCAACTTTGAGCTCTACCATTTGTGTATCCAATGTTAACTTATTTTTCTTCAATGTGCAAATGTCATTGAACATCCTTGCAACTACAGTAACTTCTTCATCGAAATCAAGTGGGATAAATTGGATCTTGTCCAAAATCTCTTGGAGCTCTTTCTTTTTTATGGTGTGTATCAATGGTTATTTTCAATGGTGAAGTATAAATGAATGTACAAAATTTGTTTACAAGACGTGACACATCGAGACCATTTGAAAATACAAAAGAGAGAGTCGCTACAGTGTGAATAAATTCATTGTGAGTCGTCATTAACTTAAGAATGTTGAATGAATTTTTCTCAATCTCTTCTAGAAGTGCATCTTCATTGCTTGTTGATAGTTGATAAAAAAGAGTCAACTAGATCAAGATCGATATTATGAGGATTAGGCTTTGTCAATTGAACTACAGTAGATTGATCAAGAGATTCTGTAAAAATGAAAGTATGATAAAATCATAAAATACAAGTACCATGGAGAACACATAACGAGGTAATGAAATATGCGAAAGGTTAAGAATTATCTTGGACAAGAACTTTGATTTGTGAATCAATTGGATTAGATGTTCTCTGAGCGATGGAAGTTTCTTATAAGAAATGTAAAAGATAAAGAAAATGACCAATAATGACATGCAGGATTGAGAGTTTTAAAAATTATATAAGTATAAATTAAACACCTTGATAGGAGAGGAAAGTGGAAGAACAAGTATCATGGAGACATTAATAGGGAATCCAGATTACTTGAAATATTGGTCAAGGTATCCTGTTAAGAATAAGTTAAATCTTTTAGCATATTATGTGATGAGTTAAAATGAGCAAAGAGGAAATATACATTGGAAACAATTAATTACCTGACTTCATTTGGAAAGGCGTTAAGAAAGTTGCACCTCATTACTATTAAGATCAAAGTCGATGATAGTTGTAGGTAGAGGAATAGGAATACCCATGGATAAAGGTGTTGATCCCTGCAAAAAATTAGATCAAGAGTCAATCTAGCATTGTATTTTCCTATTATAATTCTAAATTAAGAACACCTGGGGTGATGTAAAATAAAGTAAGGTGCAAAATTTTAAGATGATAAATTGCAGAATTTTAAGCAATAAAATAAGCAAACCCAAGGAAAATTCCCACTGAACATTAAGATAGTTGTCTATCTAGATTGAAGGTTCATTTCTAAGGATTATGGAGGGAGGAGGAGATGGAATGAAACTATAAAAGAATAAATACAAGGGTTGGAAAAATGGACCAGCCCCTTGGATAAATCAATGAAGTGAAGAAATAAAAAAAAAAAAAAAAAGAGGAAGAGAAGAGAAGTATGGTGGTGGTGGAGTGTTGGCACGCCACTAGGGGATGAGCCACCCTAGATAAGTGGTGGTTGTCGTCACTTGAACCAAGGTTCAAGATAAGACACTCAAAGAGATGGAACACTCTAAGAAACCTCACAAACTTTTCATAAATGTTCAACCATATTGCATGAGGGGAAGCCTTCTACTTATAGGCTTTTGGGGGAGGGACTTAGATGGAAATACAAAAAGGAGACATAAACTTAACTTAAATCTAAAGGCTAGAGTCCCCATGGTCCAAATATGTTAAATTCGTCCTAGCCCACCAAAAATACCTTTAAAGGTGTGGAGAACATAAAAAAAGAGGTGTGCTTCCTTTTGGGTTGTCCCAAGCCTACCAATCCCGCATCCTAAGCTTCTTCCTCTCCAAAAAGGGGTGTAGGACATGAAAAATGAGTGTCTTACACCTTTGGGTTGTCCATGCATGTATCCTATGGAACCAAGGCTTCTTTTCCACCAAAAAGAGGTGGTATTCTTCAAAAAGAAGGTGCAAAAAGTGAGCCTACAAAAGGAAAGCGAAAATAAATGAAAAACTTAGAAAAAGAAAATACTAAGTAAAAATACTAAGTAAATTCAAAATGGAAGGTGAAGAGGAGGTCTCCCTTCTAGTTATGCTTCTAGTAATCCTTCTAGGGATGACCTCTCCCGCCTCCGAGGCAACTAGGGACTCATCATCCTCTCCTCCTTGGAGAGAATTCGCCCACGAATTTGAAAAACCTGCATCAAAAGGGGTAAGATCACCAACATTAAAAAAGTTACTAATGTTATATTCAGCTGGTAGATCTAACTCATATGAATTGTTGTTTATTTTCCTAACTATTTGGAAAGGTCCGTCACCTCGGGGGTTGAGTTTGGACTTCCTTTGAGTCGGGAATCGCTCCTTTCTCAAGTGAAGCCATATCCAATCTCCAGGTTGGAAGATGACTTCCTTCCTTCCCTTATTGGCATACTTGCTATACTGACCTACTTTTCTCTTTATGTTGGCTCTAACTCGGGCATGCAGGTCCTTAATGATCTTAGATTTTTTTAGACCATCTTAACTAGTTCAAGCTTCATGGGTAAATAGAGGAAGGAGGTCTAAAGGTGTTAAGGGATTAAACCCATAAACGACCTCAAAAGTAGAGTGGGAGGTAGTGGAATGAACCACCCGGTTATATGCAAACTCTACATGGGGAATTATATTCTCCCACTCTCTGGGGTTCCTAAAAATCATGCATCTTAATAGTTCAGACAAAGTTCTATTCACCATTTCTGTTTGACCATCTATTTAGAAGTGGCAAGTGGTCGAAAAAAGGAGTTTAGTTCCAAGTTTTCCTCATAGTGTCCTCCAGAAGTGACTCAATAACTTAGTATCTCTATCAGATAAAATTGTCCTAGGTATCCCATGCAATCTAACAACTTCTCTAAAAAAGATATTTGCAACTAGGCATGCATCATCCGTCTTGTGGCAAGGAATGAAATGGGCCATTTTTTAAAATTGATTCACTACCACGAAGATGGAATCCATTCCTCGCTTTGTCCTTGGAAGCCCAAGTACAAAATCCATGGATATGTCTACCCAAGGAAAAGTAGGAATGGGTAAAGGGGTGTAAAGTCCATGAGGTTGGGCCCTAGACTTGGCTTTCTTACATGCAATGTAGTTTTCACAAAATTTTTCAACATGTCTTTTCATGTGTGGCCAGTAAAAGTGTTCACTAAGGATTTCTAAAGACTTAGACACCCCAAAATGTCCCATTAAACCACCCTCATGAGACTCCTTGACAAGTGAAGCCCTTAAGGACCCCTAGGGTACACAAATCCTTTTTCCTTTGAAAAGATAGTCCTTGTGAATGTAAAAGTCCTTATGACCCCCCTTTAGGCATTCACTGTAAATCTTGGACAAGTCGTCATCTCTAGGATACAGTTCCCGAATATGATCAAAGCTTAAAAATTTTGTTTCTAAAAGGCTTAACAAAGTATATCTCCTTGATAGAGCATCAACCATTATGTTACTCCTCCCTTGCTTGTGTTTGATCACATAGGGAAATTGCTCAATGAACTCTACCCACCTAGCATGTCTCTTGCTAAGCTTACTTTGGCCTTTCAAAAATTTAAGGGATTCATGATCACTATGGACCACAAACTCCTTTGGAAGAAGATAATGTTGCCAAGTTTGTAAAGCCCTAACAAGAGCATACAACTCTTTGTCATAGGTGGAGTAATTGAGATGACTCCCTTTCAGCTTCTCACTGAAGTAAGTTATGGGGTGGCCTTCCTAAAGCAAGACTGCCCCAATGCCTATATTTGAAGCATCACACTCAACCTCGAATGACTTGATGAAGTTGGGAAGGGCTAGGATTCGTGCATTGATCAATTTTTCTTTAAGTATTTGAAAAGCATTTTCTTGATCCTTGCCCCATTGAAAACTCACAACCTTCTTCACTATTTCATTCAAGGGGGCTGCAATTGTACTAAAATCTTTAACAAATCTTCTATAAAAACTAGCAAACCCATGAAAACTCATCATTTCACTCACATTTGTGGGAGTTGGTCAATCTCTAATTGCTGTCACTTTCTCTTTGTCCACTTGGACTCCCTTTGAACTCACTACAAACCCTAGGAAGACTACATGATCCATGCCAAAAATTCACTTCTCCCTATTTGCATACAAGGTCTCTTTCCTAAGGGTTTCAAGTACACTCCTAAGATGATGCACATGCTCTTCATCAGACAAGCTATAGACTAAGATGCCATCAAAGTATACCACTACAACTTGCCTATAAAAGACCGGAGAACGTGATGCATTAGCCGCATGAATGTACTCGGAGCATTGGTTAGGCCAAAGGGCATGACCAACCATTCGTATAGTCCAAATTTGGTCTTGAAAGAGGTTTTTCATTCCTCTCCTTCTTTGATTCTAATTTGATTATATCCATTCTTCAGATCAATTTTGGAAAACACAGAAGCTCCATATAACTCATCTAGCAAGTCATCCAACCTCGAAATTGGGTGCCTATACTTAACAGTTATATTATTGATTGTCCTACAGTCCGTGCACATTCGCCAACTCCCATCCTTTTTGGGGACGAGAATTATCGGCATTGCATAGGGACTCATGCTATCTTGGACCCAACCCTTAACTTTTAATTCTTTGACTTGCCTTTGGATCTCTCTAGACTCTTCTGGATTTGCCCTATAGCTGGCCGGTTAGGAATGGATGAACCAGGTAAGAAATCTATTTGATGTTCGATCCCCCTTAGAGGTGGAAGCCCCTTAAGAGGTTCTTGAAAAATATCTTGAAATTCATCCAATACTAACTCTAGACTCTTGGACAAACTTGAAGATTGTTTATGAAATGCAGGGGAAGAACCTAAAGGAGGATATGCTAAGAGTAGGGGTTTATGAGATAAAAGTACCTTCTTAATCCCCTTGTGGGAAATCATGATTCCCTTCGCCTTGGATGTTGACCCCTTCTCTCTTTTTTCTCTCTTTTTTTCATTTTCTTCTTTTCTCTTTTTTTGCATTTTTTCTTGGTCCTTACAAAATTCTTGAGGGGAAATGGGTTTCAAAGTGATCTTGCGCCCTTGGAATTTAAAAGAAAACTTGTTGGTATAGTCGTCATGAAAGGTTTGTTTATCAAATTGCCACGACCTACCAAGTAACATATGGGACGCTTCCATTGGCACAACATCACAGAGAACTTCATCCTTATAGTTCCCAATCGCAAAGCTAATGAGGACTTGTGTTATTAACATTTATCTCCTCACTAAGCTAGGAAAGATTGTATGGCTTGACATGAGGAGTAGTGGGCAAACCAAGCTTGTCTACTACCCTCGTGCTAGCAACATTTACACAACTTCCTCCATCGATGATGAGTGAACACAATTTGTCATTAATAAGGCAGCAAGTGTGAAAAATGTTTTCTCTTTTAGTATTGTCAAGATCCTTCTGGACTTGACCCAACATCCGCCTTACTATTAACAAATCGTCTTCACAAGGTGTGATCTCTTCATCGCTTGAGGAAGAGTATTCAGAAGAGTTCTCTTTAGAGGAGAAATGTTCACTCTCAACATCTCCGTTTGCGCTCAAAATCATAGTCCTTTTAGTAGGACAGTTTGAAGCAATGTGCCCATATCCAAGACATTTGAAACATTTTATGGAACTAATCCTTTGAGGCGTGGAGGTGTTAGGAGTGATGTTCCTTGAAGAGTTTCCCTTAGGGGGCACCTCTTGGAAAGCTTTGGAAGGGTTTCTCTCTGGTTTTTCCTTTTCCTTGACCTTGTCCTTCCAATTTGAACTGTAGTAGTCATTATGCGAATAACTCCTTTAGCCCCATCTTTTCTTTTCAATTGAGCTTCAATTTTTAGGGCAAGATGTAAAACATTTTCAATTGAGGAGTAATCGTATAATTCTACTAAGTCCTGGGTATATCTTCTAAGACCACTAACAAACCTATCTACCTTAGTCTCATTAGTTTCATCATGCATATCGGCCCTAAGTAGCAAAGATTATAGCGTCTTTAAGTAATCATTCACACACATATTACCCTGTTGAAGTTGTTTGAGCTTCAACAAGAGCTCCCTCCTATAGTAGGAATAAACGAATCTAGCACGCATTAAATGTTTAATGTCCATCCAAGAAGT